TTTTTGGCCGGGGCTGGGTTTGAACCCGCCACCTCCAGGATAAGGGGCAGCGCCCTACTCCTTTGAGCCACAGGCACCGCCCAATACTTCCATTTTCTTACAAGTGACAAAAAGACTCTATGTAGCAGAAGGCCATTAAAAGGTATTTAGAATATGAATTTACTCAATGTATTAATCCTCTTATAAGAATCTTTCTAGAGCAAGTCACAAAAGAGGAGCCCAAACTACATTGGATTGCTCTAACAATCAAAATGCCCATTCTTGGCTTGGTACTTATAGCTCAAGCAGCTAAGGCGCCAGCCACATACACCAGAGCTGGCAGGTTCAAATCTCAGCCTGGGCCTGTCAAACAAGAATGACAACTACAACCAAAAAATAACCAGGTGTTGTGGTGGGTACCTGTAATCCCAGCTACTTGGGGAGCCTGAGGCAAGAGAATCACTTAAGCCCAAGAGCTGGAGGTTGCTATAAGCTGTGAAGCCACAGCTTTCTACCCAGGGCGATAGCTTGAGGCTCTGTCTCAAAAAAAAAAACAAAACAAAACAAAAAAAAACCATTCTCCTAACAGATGCAAAAGTATGTGGAATGATCCAGAACAATCACACTATATTCAGTCAGGCCAGCCAGCCAGGCGTGTTAGGAGAGGACAGGGGAGGGGAGGGTACATTTCATGGAAGAGGCCAACCCAAAGAGCAATCAACTCTTCTACTTGTACCAGGTCAGATTTTAATTTCTGAATTATTCTGCCCATCTAAACCAGGCATTTCACTGCCACTGTGCAATAAAATGGGGTAAGTCTTCTTTTCCCCAGGATATAAATCCATTTCCAGTTCTTGCAAGCATTCCTCACAATACAACTTCCAGCTTAGTACTAGCTTGGTCCCTCTCTTTTGGCTGTAATTCAGTCTACGATAGTAACCCAAAATGAGTATCATCACCAGAGACTGGCCTATCTCCCATTCTGCATGGAATGAACCTATCACCTTTTTCACTCCAGAATAATGTAAGAGATACTTCAATTAATCACAATGAGACTATCTTAAATTTTGCTGGTCACAACTGAGAATGGCTTATAAAAGTGGTAATTAATACTTCCTGTCAGTCCCCCTATTCTAAGGGTTTTATGTGTTTTAACTCATTTAATCCCTACAATAATCTTATCATGTAGGTACTATTATTATTATTATTTAATGATGGAAAAATTGAGACACCAAGGTTAAATACCAGCCTAAGGTCAGAGAGCCAATGAAAAGTACAGTGGGGATTTAAATCCAGGAAATCCAGGAAGTATGGTTTCCTTCCCCATGTTCTTGGAGAGGTGCTACACTGCCTACACATGGAAACTCTTTTAGAAACTTCACAATGATCACTTCATTCTAACCTCAGATTATTCTGAGGTTCTAATCAGATCTCTAGAATACCTTTTCCAACCTGGAAAGGCTCAAACTTAGAAGTCTGCATCTGGATTCCTTAAAAATCAAAATCTGTAGATTATAGATACTATATGATTAGTATTAGCCAAAAAACAAACAAAACATAATAACCACAGTGTTAGGGGCTGGAATCATTAACAAAGTATGACTTTCACCCAAAACTTTGGAAGATGCTCCCCACATTCTAAATATAAGAACCCTAATAAAGAATGAAATAATAGGCTTGGTGCCTGTAGTTCAAGCGGGTAAGGCACCAGCCACACACACCAGAGCTGATGGATTCGAATCCAGCCCGGGCCTGCCAAACAACAATGACAACTACAACGAAAAACTAGCCAGGCGTTGTGGTGGGCACCTGTAGTCCCAGCTACTTGGGACTACAAGGCAAGAGAATTGCTTAAGCCCAGGAGTTGGAGGTTGCTGTGAGCTGTGACACAACAGCACTCCACCCAGGGCAACAGCCTGAGGCTCTCTTTTAAAAAAAAAAAAAAGAAGAAGAATGAAACAATAACAAAGAATGAAACAAGACTGAAAATGTTTTTTTTACTAATCTTAACTAGAACTTTTATTTCAGTTATTTACATTCTGAAGCTAAATCTACTGAAAGTTATGTAGAGCAAAATATTCTTGGGTTGCTCATATTCAGCTAAAAAGTTACTATGTATGACAAAGTAACAAAAAGATTTTATAATATTTGCCTGTACTTTTCTTTTTAAGAGACAAGGTCTCCCAGTGTTGCTGAGACTGAAGTACAGTGGTATCATCAGAGGTCACTGCAGCCTCAAACTCCTGGGCTCAAGTGATCTTCCTGAGTAGCTGAGACTACAGGCACGCACCACCACACTCAGCTAATTTTTCTATAGATACATACATATATACTCTATATATATATATTTTTTTTTTTCTTTTTTTGCAGAGACAAGGTCTGCATATGTTGCTCTGCCTGGTCTCAAACTCTTGGGCTCAAGTGATCCTCCTGCCTCGGTCTCTCAAAGTGCTAGGATTACAGGTTTGAGCCACCATCCCAACCTAAACTGTTTTTTTACATTAGAATTTTTTCAACTACAAAACTGATACAGGTGTTTCCAAACACTACAGCAAGCTTTATCAGAAAAGGCAAGGGGAGGGAAAGAAACTCCACCACATTCCACAACCACAGCAATAGTGTATACATCCACTTTCCTTAACGCTCATGCAGGAGTATATGTGCATTTTAATTTTTTTTCTTTTGATAGAGACATGGTCTCACTCTATTGCTCAGGCTGATCTCCAGCTCCTGGCCTCAAGCAATCCTCCAGGCCTCGTCCTCCCAAAGTGCTGGCATTATAGGGATGAGCCACCATGGCTTGTTCATTTTAATTTTAGAAGGCAGAATCGGCTGGTCACCTGTGCCTCAAGTGGCTAAGGCGCCAACCACATACACCTGAGCTGGGGGGGTTCGAATTTAGCACCAAACAACAACAGCTGCAACCAAAAAATAGCCAGGCATTGTGGCAGGCGCCTGGGGTCCCAGCTACTTGGGAGGCAGAGGCAAGAGAATCACTTGAGTCCAGGAGTTAGAGGTTGCTGTGAGCTGTGATGCCATGGCACTCTACCCAGGGTAACAGCTTAAGGCTCTG